TGAAGTAAGTCTTCGAAAAGAGTTCACTGTCACTTGGAAAAAGTTTGGCGTATTACAACTCACAAGCATTTATTAAGATTTAATATAACTATAATCTTTTATGACAAAACAATTAGTCAAATATATAATACCCGTTATTGTATATCACATCTGGACAATCCGTAGGTACAAGTATGCCAAAATGGATGCCTAATTTAATTAAGTGGATATTAAGTTCATTCTTCACTGCAAAATCAAGTTGTGGACTCGAGAGTACCTAGGAAATATGCAGTTTTAAAAGAATATGCCCTTTTGAATTAAAAAAATTGTATAAACTCACTACGTTTCTTTTTTTTTTTTTTTTTTTTTTTTTTTTTAAGGAATCATTGGTTTTTTTTTTTTTTTTTTTTTTTTTTTTTTTCTAAGGAATCATTGGTTTCTTTGTTAGTTATGAATTGTAAAAAAGAAAAAAAAAACAAAACAAAACAAAAGCAAAAAGAACAGGAATAAGTAAGCTTAAATTTTGCTTAATTTAGTGCCGACAAATATTGGTAGTTGTGAAAATTTGAATCCATACATTTAGGTTTGGGGGCTCAGCTGTTTCTATGTCTGGGGTTTTCTTTGGTTGTTTGTTAAGCCAGTTTGTTGAATTAGTGGGGTTAGCAATTCTAATTGGGAAACCTTTTTTTTTTTTTTTTTAACATGAAGAGACAGATGGCCAACCATTGAGACTGCTAATTAATTAGAAATAAGTACAAGTTGCATTAAGGCTGCAAGACACTTCACATGATTCTTTTTGTTGCCCAGGATTAAGGATTAGGAGCTGGCTTGTTCGCTTAAAACTTGGCCTTATTTTCTTGAAATTGACACCTAATATCCTCGAATATGATGTGGTAGTTCAACGAAATTTTTCTTTTTCCTTGACCAAAGCAAAAAATAAAAAATAAAAATAAAAACAATAAAAAAATCCCAATATTTGAAGGTCCAATGTATTTCCTCTCCTGTTTGTATGTATTTTGGTTGTTTTTAAATGACAAACAAAGAAGAGAAATTTTTAAAAATACCTCTTAAAATGGAGTCCCTTTTTTATTTATACATGTTAATATTAGCCCATATTTTTTTTTTTTTTTACTTTTTAGACTAGAACTAGAACTAATTAAGAGGTAGAGTTTTTCAAAGAAGGTAATTTTAATAAGTTAGGTACAAGATAAAATCTGGAATTTTCTCAACAAAAATATTCATACATGATACATGTGTTGGCAATATTGTAATAGTATTTTGAGTAGTTCTCAAACTTTGTTTTCCACATGTCTCCATAAAAATTGTTATCTCTACTTGTGGACAAAGGTTGGCTGGCTTTAGATAAAATCCCCACAATTCTTTTACAATTTTCTCTTGTAAGGGAGTTTTTGTGAAAGTTCGCCTTGATTTGCTAAATTGTCTATAAAGTCAGAGAGACATTTACCTCCACGTTAAACTTTCCCATCAAAGAGTATCTGACCTCTCCGATGGTGACTCGTATATCTGACCTAAAGGAAAGCCCAAATATTATTTAGCTTCAACAAGATTCCTCGACACAAGTAAAGATTCAATAAGCTAGAAACTTTGCTAACTTTTTTCGGGAAAAAAAAAAAGAGAAACTTTTGCTGACTTGACTCAATGTAAAATGCCATGTGATAAATCGAGTTGATTTAGTTAAAGTGATTTCTTAACTATTCGACCCCATTGAAGATTTGAAGATTTTGAAGAAGAAATAATCTTCTATTTTCTCATTGAATTAATCGGTAACATGTACACACTTATATACAACATTTACATAACCAATAAAGGTAACAAATCCCTACAAATAAGGGAAGGATAATCTTTTCCTAAACCTAAGGAATCCGGATTCTCTAATCCCACGATTTCCTCCTATACGTAATCCTAGATAACATTGAAGGAAATTTCACACTCCCCCTCAAGTTGGGTTGTACATATTGTACATGCCTAACTTGTTGCATATTTTCTCAAAGTTAGGTCACGGGAGCACCTTTGTTAGGATGTCTGCAAGTTGTTCCCGGGTAGGAGTGTAGACCAGCTGCACTTCTGAGTTCTCAATCTTCTCTGCTATAAAATGCCGATCTATCTTCACATGTTTCGTTCTGTCGCGATGAACCGGGTCCTTCGCGATACTGATAGTAGCCTGATTATCGCACTTAAGTGTTACCAACTTCTCAAACTCCAACCCTAACTCGGTCATAACTCTCCTGATCCATATTCCTTCATAGATTGTTACTACTAAGGCTCTTAGTTCAGCCTCTGCACTACTTCTGGAAACTACTGTCTGTTTCTTACTTCTCCATGTTACAAGATTCCCCCAGACTAACGAGTAATATCCAGTGGTTGACCTCCTGTCTACCTGGCTTCCTGCCCAGTCTGCATCGGAGTATAGAGCTATATTCCTGCAATTGTTTTTCTTAAACAATAACCCTTTTCCAGGGGTCATCTTTAGATACCTGAGGATTATGTACACGGCTTCCATGTGTTCCTCCAATGGATGGTTCATAAACTGACTTACGGCACTCACTGCAAAACCAATGTCAAGCTGAGTATGAGAGAGATAGATGAGCTTCCCTAGTAGGCGCTGATATCTTCCTTTGTCTACTGGAGTTCCTTCCTCTCTGTACCCTAACTTCTTTGTAGAATCCATAGGAGTGCTTGCAGGTTTACATCCTAGCATGCCGGTTTCTTTAAGTAAATCTATGGTGTATTTACGCTGAGAGACCACTATTCCCATTTTTGATCGAGCCACTTCCATGCCTAGGAAGTACCGTAGAGGACCAAGATCTTTTACCTCGAATTCTTTAGCTAAGAATCATTTAATCTTCAGTAACTCTTCCTCGTGATCTCCGGTTAGGATGATGTCATTAACGTACACAATGAGAATAGCTATTCTTTCCTTGGGAGAGCACTTTACAAAGAGTGTATGATCAGTTTGACATTGAATAAACCTGTGTTCCTTTACGAACCTTGAGAATCTACCAAACCACACTCGTGGGGATTGTTTAAGTCCATACAAAGACTTCAATATCCTGCATACCTTCTTGTTGTTGTTGCTTATTTGTAAACCCGAAGGAATCTCCATGTAAACTTCCTCTTCGAGATCTCCGTTAAGGAAAGCATTCTTTATATCAAGCTGATGAAGTTGCCAGTCCAAGTTGGCTGCTAGTGAGAGCAGTATTCGAATGGTGTTAAGCTTTGCAACAGGGGCAAAAGTCTCCTGGTAGTCAACCCCGTAGGATTGAGTAAAGCCCCTTGCTACTAACCGAGCCTTGAGCCTCTCAATGCTTCCGTCTGCCTTGTGCTTCACGATAAAGACCCATTTACAACTCACCTTTTTCTTTCCTGGCAGGAGTTCAGTAATAGTCCATGTTCCATTCCTTTTCAAGGCCATGATCTCCTCTTGGACTGCATGTTTCCAACCCGGGTCACTCAGGGCCTCTTGAATGTTTGCTGGAATTTGAACATTATCCAGCCCTAAAGTAAAGGCTCAATAGGATGGAGAGAGACCTGCATATGATATAAAGTTCTTGATTGGATGTTGAGTACAGGTTCGAGTACCTTTCCTTACGGCAATGGATAGTCTGAAATCATCTATAATCTGAGTCTCAAGTGATCCTTCCTGTTTCGGCTCATTTTCACCTCTTGTGCTGGTTTCTGCAGTCATTGGATCCGGTTCAGATTCATGAACAGGCATGAGATGTGCCAAGTTCTCCATCTCCCCCTGAGGTTGCTTTTTCCTCCTGGTGTATACTTGGAGTTCTTTAGTTGGTGAGGACTGACTCAAAGAAGAAATATTGGGAGGATTAGCCGCAGCTTCAGGTACAAGGACTGGACTGGATGGAGACGTTTCTGGCTGATTTAGTGGTATCTGGACTAGACTGGACATAGGGCTTGACTCGACATTTTGTGGCTGTATATTTGGACTCATTTCCGGGTGATCTAGCAAAGAATCCCAACTCCACAACTGAAGTTCTTTTCGAGTATTCTCCCCCTGAATTTCAGTTTTGGAGAAATAAGGAGTGTTTTCGAAGAAAGTCAAATCCATTGTGTCATAAACTCTGCTGGTGGTTGGACAAAAACACTTATAACCTTTCTTATTGTGGAATAACCGAGGAAGACACATTTTATGGACTTTGGATCAAGTTTACTCCTGTTTTGGGGGTAAACATGGACAAACGCGGAACACCCAAAGATTTTGAAGGGAAGATCGGAGGCAAGAACTCGAGCATGAGGAAAGATTTCAATGAGGGCTTGACGTGGTGTTCTAAATTTTAGAACACGAGATGGCATCCTATTGATGAGATATGTAGAAGTGAGAATGGCTTCTCCCCAAAGATATTTTGGAACACCAGTAGAAAACATAAGGGATCGGGCTACTTCTAACAGGTGTCGGTTTTTTCTCTCAGCCACACCATTTTGCTGGGGTGTGTTGACACATGAACTCATTTGGACAATCCCCTGTTGGGACAAGTAGTTACCTAAAACTGAATAGAAGTATTCCCTAGCATTGTCAGACTTAAGAATTTGGATTTTAGTACTGAATTGTGTTTGGATCATGGAGTTGAATGCTTGGAATATTCTATCAACTTCTGGTTTTTATTTCATAAGGAAAACCCAAGTGAGTCGGGTATGGTCATCCACAAATGTTACAAACCATCGTACTCCATTAATATTTTTTATTCGAGCGGGTCCCCAAATGTCACTGTGAATCAATGCAAATGGTTTTGATGGACAGTAGGGAACACTTTGATAAATAGAACGTGTGTGTTTTGCAAGTTGACAGATCTCACAATTGAAAATTTTTGACTTTTTATTGATGAATAAATGAGGAAATAACCTTTCAAGATACATAAAGTTTAGATGACCTAATCGATAGTGCCATAACATGACTTCACTATCTTTATTGACACTGGAATTGAAAACAGACTTCGGACTGAAAGAACTAATTGACTGACTCGTAGGAAGGTGTTTGCTTCCAACTAAAGCTTCTCCAAGTTGAGGCGTTTTGAGAGATAGAGTCCCGAGCACATCTCAGCACTGCCAATCTTCTTCCTCGAACCCAATTCCTAAAAAACACACACATTTGGGAGAAATTTAGTAACACAATGATGATCACGAGTCAACTTACTGATGGACATTAAGTTGCAATCGAGTTTAGGGACATGGAGCATGGATTTGAGAATGATTTCTGGTGAGAGCCAAATGGATCCAATCCCTGCCACCTTTGATAGAGAACCATCGGCAATGCGCACTGTGAGATTGGTGTGACTTAGTTGATATTCATGAAAGAGAGACCCATCTCCCGTCATATGGTCGGATGCCCCTGAATCAATAATCCAATATCTCGAATGTTTAGCATACACAAAGGATGCTGACTGTGAATTACTTGCTTGTGCATGCATGCTAGCGGATGGTGTAGGAGCAACGTGCTGCGAGAGTGTATTGCTTAGAATTCTTTGGAGTGCATCGAGTTGTCCCTTAGTGAAAGGACTTGACTTGGCTGTGGCTGGCTTTTCCTCGGCTGTGGTGGCTGAATGTGCACGGCTGTCTCTGTCAAATCCTGGTTTTGATGGCTTCCAGTCGGCAGGTTTGCCATGTATCTTCCAACACGTATCCTTGGTGTGGCCAGGTTTAGCACAGTGATCGCACCATGCTCTTCCCTTCCTTTGTTGCCGAGAGTCATGCTGATTTTGAGGACGTAGGCCACGAGCAGCAAGGGCAGATCCAGCAGATCCTTCCAACGTTGGAGATGAATGTTGTCCACCCATCATGACCTTTTTCCTGCTTTCCTCACGGCGAACTTCAAAAAAGCCTTCTCGAAGGCTCAGAAGAGGCTTAGTTCCCATCACTCTGCCTCTAACTTCATCCAGGTTTTTGTTTAACCCCAGTAAAAACTTAAATGTCCTCTTTTGCTCTACTATTTTCCGGTACAGGATATTGTCTTCAGGGCACTTCCATCCATGGCTTTCAAACATGTCTAGCTGCTGCCAGTGACGGGTGAGTGTGTTGAAGTATTGTGTTACGGCAAGATCTCCCTGCCGTAGATCGTGAAGAATGGACTCAATTGCGAATAGTTCCGATGTATTTTCAGAACTAGAGTAAGTCTCTCTTACTGCTTCCCAAATTTCTTGTGCAGTTTCGTAGAGAAGAAAATTCTCACCAATATCAACATTCATTGAATTGACGAGCCAAGACATAATTTGATGATTTTCTACCTTCCACTTTTTGTAACCTGGATCATCCTTCTTCAAAATTGGAATCTCCCCTGTTAGATAATCCTCTTTGCCTCTGCCACAGATGAACATCCGGACTGATTGAGACCATTGGAGGAAGTTTTGCCCATTAAGTTTGTGGCTAGTGATCAGGGGTGAGAGATTTTCAGAGTTTCCGGAATTTCCAAAATGTCTAGAGTTTTGAGGAGCAGATGTTTGATCGGAATGAGAAGAAACTTCAAAGGGAGAGCTGGTTGTTTCGGATGCCATAGTTGTGCTTGGCTATGAGGGATGGCTGAGAATGGCGGCTAGGGTTTTTTTTTTCCGGATTGGAATGGAGGCTAGGGTTTTTCTCAAAGAACCGGCTCTGATACTATGAAGATTTTGAGGAAGAAATAATCTTCTATTTTCTCATTGAATTAATCGGTAACATATACACACTTATATACAAGATTTACATAACCAATAAAGGTAACAAATCCCTACAAATAAGGGAAGGATAATCTTTTCCTAAACTTAAGAAATCCGGATTCTCTAATCCTATGATTTCCTCCTATACGTAATCCTAGATAACTTTGAGGGAAATTCCACAAGATTGTCAAAGTTCCAACATTTATGCCTACCAAAAAACAGTTGAAGTAGCTCTAGATGGACGGTATGAGTTCTGGTCTTCTGGAGATAACAGTGAATTTATTCGAATAGTCGCAATCAAAACTTAACAGCCTGTATATATGATCTTCAATTCCCTATTCGTATATTTGTAAATGTCATTTTCACAAATAATTAACCACCACTGTATCTAGAGAAAACCAGAAAATAGGAAAGAAATTTCATTCACTAGTATATACAAATCATGTACAGGTTCCCTTTTCTTTTTTTGGGTCTTTTTACATCACAGATCACAACTTTGATGCAATTTTTATTCATTTAATTTATGACCAAATCCCAACAAAAGAAACAAGGATTTATTCTTGAAGGTAAAGGGAGAAAAAAATTATTGAGGATTGATGAGGAAATTCCACAAACAAATCCAAAAAAAAAAAAAAAAAAAAAAAAAAAAAAAAAAAAAAAAAAAAAAAGCAGCAAGATGAAAATTCTTGTAAGGCTTTTAGCAAATGCAACTTTCTAGTTTCTGAGAACTCCTAATTTCTCCAAGGAAGCCCGAATGTCGCTGCTGCTGCAATCTTCGGTTGTCTGCACAATGTTGGGGCTGTCATTTGGCATGACATCTGAGAGAGGGTAGTTTCTGTTAGCATGGAGTTGACTGATTGCGTTGCTACAAACTCCTTTCAATATTACACTCTTGTGTGTCCCGCCTAGCAATCCTTCATAGTCTGTGTCCCCACATTCACCAACGAAAACCACCATTTTTGACAACTCCACACCCCATCGAACGTAAAGATATCTGAAGCAAATATTCAGTCACTGACTTGGTAAAGAGAAAATTACTGAAGAATGACGTAAAAAAAAATCAGGTTACTGGGTTTAACTGTTAAAGAATAATCTGCCGAACAAATCCAATTAAGGACCATTATGCTCCACTACTTGTCATCCTAGGATGTCAGTTTATTCAAGGTTTCTTTTTTTTTTGTTCTTTTTGGTTGTCTTAAGGGCAGGACATTTTTCTCTTCCCAAAAGAAGGGACGCAAAGAAAACGATGTGAAGTTGACCAAAGTCACGACGATTGCGTCAAGCAAATTTGTATCAATATCTTGGATATCTTAGATGCAAATCCATATGCCATTAAATTCTTAAAAGACTAAACATAAGAAGTCCTACCTGAGCGCTTGAGAGCGAGATGCCGATACTGGAATTACGTTGAGCCTGGTCCCGTTTTGACAATAAATAACATGGCAACGTAAAGCCTGAATTCTCAGCGACTTCCGAAGCTCCTTAACCGGAGGAACCTGCAAAAATATAACAAATAAAATTGAAAAACGGAAAAGGAAAAAAGAAGAGATTTCTACCATGAACATGTGAGAGATTTCTACTAGCCATTCCGTACAAAAAGTCTCTGACACCAAAAAGTGAGGAAAATTACCATTCCTGGCTTTTGTACTTTGAAAGTATAACAATAGTCAGTTGAAAGTTGATCAGCAGCGACAACAATTGGTTCCTCACTCCCAGACTTCGTATCAGTTACTGAAGCTGCCCAACGAACCAAAGTCTTCCTCAACCCTTCTCCACCCCAACGGTATTCAATATGTGAGTGGTAATAAAAGTCGACCACAAATGGACGATCCTCTGAATTAGGAGAAGAATAGTATAGATCACTGCCACTGTTACAGATAAAAGCATCAAAATCATTTGGGTTCAAGCCCCCTGAGACCAGAAATGAGCGAATCTCAGAAATGGTCAAGGATGTTGACAATATGAACCCCACAGAGCCATCGCTCCTTTCCTTTTCTGCGGCTTCAAGAATCTTTCTGGTTGTTTCAAGAAGACCTGTAGTGCTATCACTATCCACAGCAATAACAAGGAGATACTTCCTCCTACGCAGAGCTGGAAACTTCCCAGAGCTGTTTTGGTCGGCTTTCTCTGTCAGACCCGCATTTCGGGAATCCTTTGAAATGCCCTGAGACCATGCCAAAACAGCATTCTCTAGCTTACTACTCCTATCAGCAGAATTTCCATCCAATTCTGAAGCGTTGTCATTCCCACTAGTCCCACTCTTTTCCACATCCAGTGAAAACCTAAGGTTCAGAGATATATCCTGGATATCTCTCAAGGAATCACCAGGTGAATCTGATTCTGAAGTTTCGCCATCATCATCTTTCCTTTGCCATTGTGGATGCCTTGCTTTGCAACTAGCTATTTTGGAGAGGTAAGTCTTGCAGTGCTCCGGCCATGAAAATAGGTGAATATTTTTCAAACCATTTTGCCGACACTTTGCCCAGAGATGCTTATCCGCAACAAGCTTCAGAAGAGCCTCAGCAATAGATTGCTGATCATGGGGATCAATAAGAAGACCATTGTCAAGTACCTGCAAGAGCAGCAACCCTGAGTCCTGGAATTTGTGACAGAAACTCTCCCTTCTACAACTCTTCCACATAAATATCATCTATATTCTATATCAACTTGTAGTCATACCCGAATAATGTCAACTGGACCACCATTTTTTGTGGCAACAAGTGGCAGACCATGTGCTGCTGCCTGTACAACAGGAGAGCAGAAGATTCAAAGATTCATTTGACAAAGCTTAAACCTAAACCATATATCTCTAGAAGTAGTAAGAAAAGCACCTCAATCAGTGTAAGTCCAAAGGGCTCAATGAAAGCTGGATTAATGAAAACTCCCTGCCAAAAAACAAAAAAGAAAAAATAGAAAACATGTGCATGTGCACACACGCAGTCCAGATGTGAGACAGAGGATGGTCAACTAGACTCTAGATGATATCTCTCACTGTATCTTCAATCCTGTATAGTAACTGCACGTAATACCTTAGTCTTTGCAGCTAGGCGATAAATTTCAGGAACATCGAACTGCTTGTGGTGTTTCGGGTATGCAACTTGACCGTACAAATCATATTTGTCAATAAGCTTAAGCACTGAGAGAAGCACAGAAGAATTTGTGCTCGACATTTCGTCAATTCCATCTCGATTACCCATAAACAATGTCTGAGAGGGAAAAGAATGTATTAGATGGCCAATCACAAATTCAATTACGATGAGAAACACAATCAAGAAGATGTTTTCTCCAGACAATTAATTTAGGGAATTAACGTACGAGATTAGCAAGCTCCCTTAGGGGACGGCATTCTCCAAATGCTTTGACCAAAGTTGTAATGTTTTTCTTGGGATCTGGTCTAGCAAGGGCAAGAATCATAGGCTTGCGAGGGTTGGTAAAGAAGCGCATTATCTGCGGATAACAAGTGCATAGCATAAAAAAAATAAAAATAAAATGAATAGACAGAATAAAACAAGGTATAAGTCTAGACAACTTATAAGCTGTCTTTTTGTAGACAATAAAGCAAATGCTGAAGGAATAACTATAACCTCGGACCAGATAGGAGGGTCTGGCGAAGTAGGGTGGTCTTCGTTTGTTTCTGTTTCACCATCCACATCCTGTGGAACAATATGATGGAATTCCATTCCTGGAGGAATTATCTGCAGAGAAACTATTACAGTAAGATCTCTGAGAACTACTAGGAAACTACCAAAGAAATCCAGCCAGTTATACACAGATCAGTAAACCATGAACACACGACCATCAAAAAGCATCTCCATATTCAGGATAGTATTAAGTTGAAAATATTAGAGAATGGGTTTATTGGGTTTTACAGCAGTTCTGTCATTCAAAAGAGCATTAGAGTGATCCTGAAAATCATAGATTATGAAGATCCCAGGACATACCACCATGCGTGGCATAAACCTCCCATAACAGCTCACGTTACGCTTGATCCTTGCACGGATTTTACGTTCCAGTATTGGATCAAAAGCATCATATAAACGCCATTGCTCCTCTATTTCCTGTCTAGTACTAGTTATTACAATTTCAGAGGCATCAAGCGATAGTTCCTCAGCCTCTATGCGGCGCATTATTTTGTATGTCATGTTTATTTCATCCCTTGAAAGACGGCCTTGCTTTAAGAGTTGTTCCAACTTGTCACGACCAAGTGAGTGCCCAGTAAAGAGCATTGGTACATTTAATGCCCCAGATAACAGAGCAGCAGAATCACCGGCATCTGCATAATGCCCATGGATTGCAACAGGCCAAACGGGTTTTCCACCACCAACTTGTTCCCCGAGAACTTTCGACATTTGTATTATGTGATTCAGAGCACCATCAACAAATTCAGGGATGTGAGGCCAAAGAAGTTCTTTGGGAATATATTTATCTTTTGGGCCAAAGGGTATACGAATGATATAAGCCCCACTGCTTTCACCCATCTCATCTGAGAAACCTTCTGCATTACTTGGAGTCAGCATCTCTGTGGGCTCAGCATAAGTCCAATCTACATCCGGTGACCATACTTGTCTAGTGAGCAGATCAACCCGATATACACCCGGCATTGAGCCCAAAGCCCTTGCAAGTTCGACAACATACTTAACCTGTAAATCCAAAGATTAACACAGCTACCCACATCAACAACTATAGAAGGGTATCCTTTTATCCCCTTGTATAAGAAACAGAGGTTTTAAAATAAAAAATAATAATAATAATAAATAAAAATACACGCAAAAATCAAGGAGGATAAGGGCTCCACCAAAAAGCTCGTATCATAATCATAACAACAAAGATATCGTGTGGGAAAAACATTACAACAAGATATTACCTGGCCACCAGTATCAGAGTCACGACCAAGCTCCATATTTTCACCCCTTATTAGACCATGAATGCTGCAAGGATACTTCTCGTTAAAAACAATAGAAAATCATTAGACACAACAAAGATCATTATTTATAGCTTATGAGAGATAGATATTCATTAGTTACCATCAGTCATGTTTAGTTTTCTTACGAAGTTCCCTTCGGCAGCTAGTTGAACCAAGTTTAGAGAATGGTTAGAATGCTTCTATCAGATACAGAGACCATTATTGTGTCAAGTAATATTATACTAAAAATATGCACTATTCATAATCATAATTAGTTTTCCAATTAATAATATAATGTTTTCCTTCATGAATCATGACCACATCTACAAATTAGGACAATGAAGTTTGGTTCATGCCTTATTAATACAATATATAGCTTTTTCCCCTTTTGCTGACTAGCCCAAGTTTCCATAGCATCAGCGGAGTTAATTCTTGGTAATCTGCCCCTAGTACTTTCACCGTGACTTGATATGTCGCCCACCACATCTCCCTTCTCTCCCTCTGATAAGTCTTCAGACATATCAGCGGTAGCTTCCCGACGACCTCTTTCTCTTTCAAGTCGACGTTTAGCCTTCCTTTGGGCTTCTTCTCCCTCACGCTAAATACGACAAGACAAAGCAGTAAGTCATTAATGTAATTAGAAAATAGCTCGAAGCGAAAATTTAAGACCGTTATGTGTCGGCCCCAAACAAGGAAGGAACATTTTGCATATAATGGCTTTTCACCCTTCTAATGGAATTGACATTATTCGCTCGAATGGGAGAAATGACAATTGCAAATATAAATTTGTTTTATTTTTCCACGATTGCACTTTTCTTTCTTTCTTTTTTTTTGATAGCCCCCTTGTATTTTGCACCTACATCACTTCCGACTAAGACTCACCACTACCTCCTCTTCTTAGCAATTCGACCATGCAGTTCTACTTCTCTGTATATATTATGGGAATCCCATCCAAACACTTGAGTAAATTACATGTTGTGTGGGAAAATGTGACGTACACTTAGACGAATGATAATGTGACATGTGGCCTTAACTACTCCCCGCCAAGCAACAACCCTCGACGTCTACAGCTCTGAAGAACCCAAGCACGAAGTCCAACTTAAGGCGACGATTCCTTCTGGCGTCGACTGATTGAGCCGTCGAGCTTAAGGTGCAGAGATCCCTCGACCACAGGATCAACCACCAAGAAGGACGACTGGGCTAAAGCGTTGCTGGCGACGAGGGGAGCGTTCTCTGCAGAACGTGGCAAGTTGCGTACAAAAGCGGAGGTCGCCTGCAGGCATTAATTGCGAGCTCTTAAACCGCCCCACAGGGGACAGGATAGTGTCACAGGGACGCACAGAGCCGTAATAGAAGACTAATTAGCTGAGTGAACAGTGCTAATTAGTGGGCTATGTCTGGGCCTAAAAAGGGAAAGCACTTGAGTGCTTCTGTCTACGAGGGAAACCCACCCAGCGAAGCAAGCCCAGTATAAAAGAAGGGAGACCCCCTATGAGGAGGGGGTTCAGATCCAAGAAGAGAAAAAAGAGAGTGAGAGAGAACGATTGATGTAAATTGTAATTCTCTCAAAAATGAATAAACAACCACAGTGGATGTAGCTCTAATTTTACAGAGTGAACCACTATAAAATTTATTGTCTTCTTTATTTGTGCACATCTCAGACTACACACAACATACACCCCGACCAATAAATTTTCACACATATTCAAACACCTAGGCCGGTAAACCAAGAGATAACACGGCCGGTTTTTGTTGACGAGAAATCACCGTCAACAATTGGCGACTCCGCTGGGGAGCAAAAGCATTTGACCCCCAACAACATAGTTAGCAAGCGCGCCTCCAAGAGAGACGGACGAAACCGCCATCCATCCAGGGAATAACGGGATGGAAGGAGATCTACGCCCGGTCGGAGACGAAGTCCCACCCCCAGACGCACCACGGCCGGATCCTGTGCAGATGCAGGCCCAACTGACCACTCTAACTGAGCTGGTACGCGGGCTGATGACCGTGGTTGAGCGCTTAGATGGAAGGAATTCTATGCCGCCATTAGAAGACGCCCCGAGGCCGCTGGGACCTGCCATGGCTGAAAACCCGAACCCCGGTGATCGCCCACATGTCCAAGAGGGAACCGGGGACAGCGAGAATCACCAAGACCCTCCCAGGCCTCGACCTTCTCAGTCCTCCGGCAGCCGCCTGAGGGCCTCCGGACTCCGGGCTCCCGAGGACCGGATACTGAGAGGCCCGGAAAATCCCGAGATACTACCCCAGAATCCATGAGGAAACCCACTAGGAGACTTAGGGTCAATACAGGCGGGCGGCCAGGCGAGGGGCGGACCCAACGCTCAAAGGGCAGAAGCGTCGAGGGTAGCTGGCTTGGCCATCTCGACGGAAGAGGCGCGCGCCATCATGGAACGTATGGCTAGCCTAGAGCAAAAACTCACAGAGGATGAGACAGGCCTGAAGAAGAACATAGGGCGAGTGGCTGAGGTGGTAAACATCGACATCATACCTAACCGCACACATGACCATCCGTTTTCCGCAGAAATAATAGCGCCCCCTCTCCCCGACAAATATAGGTCGCCGTCGATTCCACTGTATGATGGTCGAGGGGATCCCGACGATCATTTGGATATGTACACAGGACACATGCTCTTACACGGGTATACAGAGGAAATCATGTGCTGAGCTTTCCGGAACCATTTGACGGATTCTGCCCGAAGATGGTTTCAAACGCTGAGGCCAAACTCTATCTCGAGCTGGGATGAGTTGAAGGAAGCATTTTCTCTCCAATTCATAGGGGTTAAAAAGTACGTCCCCCCGAAGCAGAATCTGACGACGATATACCAAAAACCGAACGAGTCATTAAGGGAATGGCTCGCGAGATATGGAGAAGCGGTCGCCGCCACGATGGATATAACAGACAGAGAGGCCTTGATGGGGGCATTATCTAGCATGAAGAAAATTACCCCCTTCAAGAGAGAGCTAAACCGGAAACCCCCGTCCAACTACAGAGAATTTCTGGCGCGAGCGTAGAGGTACATCAATGCCGAAGAGGCGGATGCAAATGACCCCGAGCACAGGTCCAACAAAAATAAAGAGACCGAACAAGGGTCGACGCCTGCAAAACGGGACGGGAATAAGCGTCGAGGTGGAGGAAGGGGAGACAAGCAGCCAGCTGCGACGACGAGCGCTCCAGAAGCCAAGAAGCCAAGACAAGAAGATACCCGTAAGCCTCGACTGTTTCAGAAATACGATTCCTACCACGAGCTAACGGTAGGAGTCGATGAGGTTTTTAACCAGGTCGGCCGCGGAAACCTACTTCGCCGACCAGAACCGATGAAAACGGATCCCAGCCGAAAGAACCAAAAGAAATTCTATAAGTTCCACGGCGATGTCGGCCACCACACCAACGATTACGCCGACCTCAAGAATGAAATCGAGAGAGTAATCCGTGAGGGAAGGTTACAAGAGTTCAGGGCCGAACGAAGACCTCGAAACGATGGCCACGGTGGGCAAAATGACGGTCGACGCCGAGAGGAGAACCAGCGCCCAGAGGATCGTGAACCCGTCGGCGTCATACGGACTGTCCTCGGCGGCCCCTATATAGGAGGAGACTTAAGAAGGTCTCAGAATGACTACGCCCACGAGACCAGGGGGGTTTACCAGGAGCGGTTCTGGAGCGTCTCCGCTGCAAATACCCCAAGGTACAGCCACACCGACGTAGCCTTTAACGAGAACGACGCCAGCAGAGTTCACTTCCCTCACAACGACACATTAGTGGTGGAAGTCATGATAGCGAACCACACCGTGTGCCGAATCCTGGTAGACAATGGGAGCTCGGTGGACCTCTTATACTCCGACTGCCTGGAGAAAATTGGGATCCAAAAAGAACAGTTGGAAAAGACCTCCAGGCCACTATATGGTTTCACCGAGGACTCCGTCATCCCCCAGGGGACCATCCGGTTGCTCATAACCGCCAGAGAAAAACCCCGACAGGCTACTACAATGGCCAACTTTGTAGTTATAAAAGGAGGCTCCCATTATAACGCCATGATTGGGAGACTAACCCTTCAGGCGCTAAGGGCCATAACTTCCGTCTACCACCAAAAGGTCAAGTTCCCTACCCCAAATGACGTAGGCGAGATAAAGAGCAACCAATACGAGGCTAGGGCTTCATACCTCTCAGGATTCATTAGAACCCCGTTGAGGACATAGACCCCAGGGTTCAAGAGGAGGTCACATGGTCTCAACCCATCGAGCAATTGCTGAAAAACCAAGTTGATGAAGACGAGTCCACCAAAGTGCTAAAAATAGGCTCAGGCTTAGCCCCATCACTTAAGGTTGAGAGCGAGAACTTTCTTAGGAAAAACTTAGATGTCTTCGCCTGAAACCACGCCGACATGGAAATGATCGACGCCAACGTAATATGTCACTCCCTGAACGTCGACCCCTCATATCCTCCTATGCGCCAGAAGCGTCGACCGATGAATCTTGAGAGGTATGAAGCGCTAAAAGATGAGGTCGACAAACTAATCAACAATGAGTTCATCAGGAAGACCCATTACCCACGATGAGTCTCAAACCCCGTTTTGGTAATCAAGCCTAACGGAAACTGGAGAACATGCGTCGACTTCAGCGATCTCAACAAAGTCTGCCCAAAAGATGGCTTCCTACTCCCTCGAATAGACCAGATGGTCGACGCCACGGCAGAATATAAGATGCTAAGTTTTATGGACGCCTACTCCGGGTATAACCAGATCCCCATGCATCCAGCTGACGAGGAGCTACATCCTTCGTAACTAACAAGGACCTCTACTGCTATAAGATGATGCCTTTCGGCCTGAAGAATGCAGGGGCTACCTACCAACGGCTTGTAAATAAATTGTTCGCTCAACAGCTCGGCAAAACCATGGAGGTATACGTCGACGACATGCTTGTGAAAAGCGCCAGGGCCAGCCAGCACGTCGACTATCTGGGTGAAATGTTTGGTGTATTGAGAAAATACCACATAAAACTAAATCCTCA